CCGGGCGCGGCGGGTCCGCCCCGGCCGCTGCCGCCTCCCCTCCTGCTGCCCCTGCGGCGGCGGCCAAGGCTGCCTCCTCCTCCTCTCCGGGCTCCCCTCGATGGGGGAAGCCGAAGCCCCCTCGCCCACCCAGCCCGCAGCAGTTCCTTAAGGAGCCATTCTCCAGCATCGCGGAGCCCCTCGGCGCTCCCGGCGCTGCTTTCCTCCTCTTTCTGCCCCTCGCCTTCTCCCGGCTCCCGGGGCTGGCATTGAAAGAAGCCCACCCGACCCCGACCCGGACCCGCCTGTTCCAGCCTCCCTCTCCCCTTCCTTTTCCCCGCCGCCTTCGCCCTTCTTGCGCCGCCGCGGCTAAACTGCCCGGCCCTGGGGGAACCGCGCGGCTTTTTAATAGGCGGCGGGCCCACTCGGCTTGCTCCGCCTCTTTGGCCAAAAAAGGGAAAAGAGGAGGAGCTTTCTCGCCCCTGTGGGCGGGGCCTATTTTACTTTCTACTCCCCTCTTGTGTAGAAGAGGGAAAGAGGAGGAGGAGGAGGAGGTATGAGGCTCCGCCCCTCTTCTAGCCACGCCCCTCGCCTACGCTCCCGAGTAGGCGTGGCCTTTCGGCTTTTGAAGGCACTTTCTCCGCGTTCTTTCCATTCCGCCCGCGGGCCCCCGAAGGAGGAAGGAGGCGTGCGGGCGAGCGAGCGAGCGGGCGAGTGAGCGAGCAGGTGGGAAGGATCCCGCTTTTCCTTGCCCACCCGCCGAGGCGGAGTGACACGCGGATTACTCACGGACCAGAGGGCGCAGGAAAAAACAAGGCTGGCACGCTTTTTTGTAAGAGCAGGGAAAGAAGCGTGCGCGCAAGGCTGGAAAGCAATCGCTCGTTTCCATGTTTTTGTTTGTTTGTTACACGAGGACCTGTCCAGACGTTCAAAGGGGTTACGTGAAAGGGACGTGGGGATCACTGTCCAAAGCATTTCCCGATGCTGAAACATTCCGAGCGACCGAACCCGTAGGAAGAGATTTAGAGAGAGCGCTGTGCCCTTACGGTCTTCTAAAAGAGGAAAGGCGGAAGATCAAGGGTAAAATATATGCTGTATCTGGTCCCGCCAGCATCTCCCGTGTAAAAAAAAAGGACTCACGAACTTGGAAGGCACGGCAGGCCCATCTCTCCAGCGATGTCTGTTCCTGCCTCTGGGTGTCAAGCTCCCATCGGGAGGGTACCAGACCAGAAAAACGCTGATCTGCTGCCTCTGAAATTGGAGATTCAGTTCAGTTGGTGGCTCACATATCCCTCATGCGTTTGTCTAATTGCCTTATAAATCACTCACTCCAAGTTAAAAGTTCTGTAGTTCACATTAATGATTGAAGAGAGCTTGAAGAGAGCACTGTTGCCATGTACCATCGAGTCAATTCCAACTCATGGTGATCCTGACAGGGTTTTAAAGGAATGGGACATGTTTAAAGACTGGTTCACAACTGCCATGCTCCAGCGAGTTTCCATAATTAAGCAGGGATTTGAATCCAGGCCTCTTTGGTCTTAGCTAAACATTCTACAAGGATTCTCTTTATTAACAGTATTGACACAAAAATATAAGATCTTAAATTGGGGAATGGCAGCCACTAGCTTAAAAGACAATTAGACCATTTTCTTTAGCCATTCTAAGCCTGTAGTCATTATACCCTTAGGATGGGTAAGCCCAATTGAACTCAGTGGGTATTGTTTCTGAGTGGGTACATAGGTGAACAGTATAAAACAGTGTGAATGTGCTTCCTCATTTCCGATGAAATGCTTGTATGGTGCAATGTATTCTTCCAAGAGGTTCAAGTCAGCTCATGGATCTTTCAGTAGGATGCAAATTCATTTTACTGTATTTCAGTGGGGCATTTGCCTTTTTACAGAGGCATGAGAGAGAATTAAAGATTTAAGCTATCCCTCATTAACAGAATGCATCCTTGTTAGTTCATTAGTCTGGCTAAGCACCATGTAGAATTTTCTCCCCACAGACAGAGAATTACACTTGCAAGAGGGGTGGGTACACAGACACAGACTAGGTAGAATCCTAAATGATGTCACTGGTGGAAGCATCATGCTTTCAGATAGATGTGAATTAACCCACCCACCCACCTCCGTTTTCCACATCACAAGCGTAAAAACAACGGTCTCATCAGTGACAGTTTACTCAGTTTCACAGCCATTTTCCAAGCTGATTACTGTGTCAACAGTTGGAGAAAAGATAATAATGTGGAAATTGAAATTCCTGTGTCCGTCTGCTTGTTCGTATAGACTTGTGTTAGTCTTTCATTACCCAAACAAAAAAAATGAAAGCCCAACCAAGAGAATTATGGCACCTTAAAAAACTAAAAATTGGTAGTCATCCATATGCCACAAGACCCTTCATTGTTTTTCAAAGAAGAAAGCTATTGGCATGCTTCCGGTACATATCTTTCAGCATGCTTTAGCATCAGCGGAACCCTAGAATGTTTAGCCTTCTCCATTGAGGAGAGAGGGAAGAGAGAAGATTCAAGAACTACCTTTGCTTGCTGAAATATGTGGCTATCTCTACTGTGCCCTCACAAGACATTTCCAATTGACCCTTATTCTTGGCCAAGCTTTTGCACAGGTGCTGAATAATAGTTCAGAATGTTTTAACTGTGGGTGTCCTACTCTGTGCTGGGAAAGGTAGGAAAAGAGGAAGACCAAATATGAGATAGATGGACTGCCTAAAAGAAGCCACAAGGTTTACAAGAGCTGAGCAGGGCAGTTGAGGACATGACGTTTTGGAGAATGCTCATTCATAGGGTTGTTGTGGGTTAGAGGTGACTAGATAGCACATAACAACAACAACAACAAATAAGAATAACAATAACAATAAGAAAATCCCAAGTGTGTTTACATGGGTATAGAAGCAAAGGGCAGCTTCTTTCTCCACACATCAGTCCCCACGTGCACATTATAAGAGAACAGTTTATCTTAGAAAAAAAGGCATGCAAGGAGCAGACATGATTAAATTATGCCTTGGCTGGAGAATATGGATAGAGAAAGCTTTGTGTCCCTCGGTCTTAATAACATAAGCCAGGGCTACAAACGGGAGCTGAATCACGGCCTCTCTATATCAGCATACCTCTCTACATTAGCTACTGTAAATGTCTCCCTTAAGCATATGGTTGGCTGCTATATGAGCAGATTTTGGGGCTAGAGAGGCCGTGGGTCTCATCCAGAATAGCTCTCCTGTTTTTATGAGAGTAAGTAAAAGGGCTGGCTCCATGGTTGGTGATGTAGATGTGCTGACTCTGCTCTGAGTCTGAATCCAAACTTTACTTGAGCTGTCCGTTGTGCTGAACCTATTTGGGGGACATGATTCAGTACCCGGGATGACTTCCACCCAGCCTAAAATTTCTGGAGGGAATTCACAATCCCTGTGAAGTTGGAGTCGATGTTCAGTTAACTTGGGACAAAAGACACATAAATGGAATTGCATTCCATTCTAGCCATTGCCTGCCACCCGCCCAGCTTTGTCCTCTGACAGAAAGAATGCCCAGGGATCTAAGGAGGGACAGCTGAGGAACTGCTACTTTTGCCACCCCCAGAATTTCCCAACAGAACTGTACCTGAATTTGACTCTTCCCAAAGACTTAGCTGGTCCTTGGGAACCAACATTTTTGTACCTGAATTTGACTCTTCCCAAAGACTTGGCAGGTCCTTGGGAACCAATATATTTAAATTAAAAAAGAGAGAAAGAGTCTGTACTATTTCTGTAAATTAAAAAAAAAGAGAGAGAGAGAGAGCGTCTATACTATTTCTACTTTGGCCTGTAGCATTTATCTCAAAATAAGACATTTTTTAGGCAATTACTTACGTCCAGGTCTCTCTGGCACCACTCATCTTAAGAAAACCATCATCAATTGTAAGGTAAAGGTTCCCCTTGACACTTTTAGTCCAGTTGTGTCCGACTCTAGGGGGCGGTGCTCATCCCGTTTTCAAGCCATAGAGCAAGCGCCTGTCCAAAGACAGCTTCCATTGTCACGTGGCTAGCGTGACTAGGGAATGCCGTTTTACCTTTCCACCGAGGTGGTCCCTATTTATCTACTCGCATTTGCATGCTTTCAAACTGCTAGGTTGGCAAGGAGCTGGGACAAAGCAACGGGAGCTCACTCCGTCGCGTGGATTTGATCTTACGACTGCTGGTCTTCTGACCCTGCAGCACAGGCTTCTGTGGTTTAGCCCACAGTGCCATAAAAGGCACAGGATGCCGACTCTATCAAACATGCTGAAATTCCATCACATATTGCATTCACTTGAGAGAACTTGGTTACATGGGTCTTTTTCACCATGCATTATTTTAAAGCAACAAAAACAAACAACCACTGAAAGCAAGAAGTGAATGTCTGACTGTGTCCTTATTTGCATATATGCATGTATTAGCATTCCAGAACCAACAGCCCAAGCCCTTTCATCATGTGTTCTCTTTCTCATCCACAACAGAAGCTCTGTGGTAGATGCCAGATTATGAGAGCTGTTTCTGGAGAGCACAGTCAAATTTTGGTGGCTTCTTGCCTATCTGGCAAGTAAGTACAAGGATGATTTAAAGCCACTTTCCCACAGTACAGCTCCTGTGGGGGAGGCAGCTAGAAACGGCACCTATGTGGAAGTCATTGTAACAGGCTGCTTCATTCATACTGGGCAATTCCTGTCCCTATCAGCAAACTCCCTTCATGAATGCTTTGTGAAGGAAGAGTCAGCCCACTTGATCAGCTGAACGGTGGGAAACGACTTGAGAGTGAGAATCCTTTCGTTTACCTATACATAAGAAACACATGCTGTATATGGGGAACTTGCAACACTTCAGCTGTCTTGGACTACAACTCTTATCATCTAGGACCATTGTGGATAAGGGGAGTTGTAGTCCAGACACAGGATCACCAAGCCCCCTGGAATGAAAAATTCATCTGTAAGCTCCACAGCTTTGGGATGAATGCAGAGAGATGCCTATAATTTATACTGTGTAGTGGTTACAGTGAAGAACAATGCCTGACAGACTTGAGTTAAAATCCTCACTTGGTCGTGAAACTCAATGAGAATTTAAGGCCAGTCACACTTACCCGACTTGACCTACCTTGCAGGGTTATTGTGGAGATAGAAATGGATAAGATAAGGTAAGGTAAGATTTCTGGTGGTGCTCCACGTTCTG